TATTTATTCATAAACGTACATAATTACGAGAATATTAAAATCAAATTATTTTAAAACGTTTTCTCGTTATCAGTAAGTGATAACGACATTTAACATAAGTCAAAGGTCGTCGTGTCCAATTTTCTTTTTTTTTCTCGTTACAGTTCGATAACTATTTTCGTTTCGTTTCGTTTAATCGAATTAAAAATTTACGATTTGTTTTTATTATTATTACTAACAAACAAACAAACAAACAAACAAGCAATGTCAACATTAAAAAAAATACAAATTAACATCCAATTATATACTGTTTAACAAATCGAACGATAAACAATATTAATATTATTATTATAAAATAATAAAAACGAAATAAACTATCAGATTTTTACGAGAGAAAATTTTTTTTTTTTTGCGTTTTTATAACTTTCTATTAATTTTAATGATGGAAAATTATTATTATTATTATTATTATTATTATTATATGAAAACCGCAAACAAAAAGTTTATCGTTTAAACAATAACGAAAATAAATAAAATACTATTTCGTAGTTTTAATAATTAATAATAATAATATTATTAATAAAAAAAAAAAAACATAAATTAAGTTTTTCGAGTTTTTTTTTAATTAATTAAAAAATATTTTAAATATTTTAAATTAAAATTTTGTTTTTTACAACAACAACAACAACAACAACAAACAACAACAACCGAAAAATTTTATATCGATCGACCCGGTTTTTTAAACTCGTAAACAAATAAAATCAATTAACCAACTTATAAAAAATTTTATTCGAACATTTTTTTTTTCCTAACCACGTGGTAAATGAGACTGACACGTGGCTAAACACGTGTTCGATATTACACGTGCGTTTCGTTTTTAATTTTTTTCTATTATCAAACTGTGATGATGATTATAATGAATTAAAAACAAATTTAATTTTCTTTTTTTTTCCTGGAAAAAGATGCAGTTTTCCTCTTTTTTTTTTAAGGGGGAGGGGGAAGGAAAAGAGGGGTGAAGGAAACTGATGGGGGGTAATTTTATGGTAAAATATGATTTTTCCGTTATTAATAAAGGCTTCCTACCACGATGGTGATGATAATAAGACTATTTTTTAAGTGTAATAAAAATTTCTTTTTTGTTCTTTTCAATTGTCTCACTTCTTTTTCTTTCCTAACCCCTCCCTCCTTCACACTTTCCCTCAAATAACATCCCCCCCCTCGAATCTTTAACACTATGAATATTCGTTAATGATACTAATTTAATGACGTGGAAAAAAATTGTTTCGTTTTCTTTTTTCTCTTTTGCCATTTTTTTTTTTTCCAAACCTCTTCTCTCATCTACCGCCACGCTTATCTACTTTTTTTTTATCTTCTTCCATTGTCTTTCTTTGTTTTTTTATTCGAACTAAAAATTAATTAATTAAAAAAAAAAAAAGAAAAAAAATTTTCTTTGTCTTTTTTTGGCTCTGGAAAATTTTGCTGTTTTTTCTTTACATATTTATATACAAAAGTTTTACGGTAAAATTATGTATTTATTTTTTTCCTTTTTATTATTACTATTATTATTATTAATTTAGTTGTTTACAAAAAAATTTTTTTTTGGTTTCATTATTAAAATTATTTATGTATATATGAATATTAATGAAAAATTTTGAATAATTTTATTACGTAATTTTCGTTTAATTTTTTTTTTATTTGTTACCAATAGATAAATTATCTGAGTGTGTAATTTTATATAGTTTTTGTTTTGTTAAAAAAGTTTTTGTTCTTTTAAAGAGACATTTTTTTTTTTCTTGCGGTTTGTTTATCAAAACTTTACGAAAAGTAAAATGTTTGTTTTTGTTGTTTTGGAACCGATACTATCAGATGAAAGTCAATCGAAATCGGATAGGATACAACAAAAAAAAAATAATGAGAGAGAGAGAGAGGGGAGAGAGAAATTAAAACAAAAGTTTTCTGTCACTATATTAATAATCTTTTAAAAGGAAAAAAAGAAAATTTTTTAAATGATGACGTCATTGCAAACATGGCGACAACATCGCAAACATGTCGAAATCAGAAAATTTTGATTTTTTCGAATGTAATTTTAAAAAAATTTTTTCAATTCTTTTATTAGTAATAAAAACATTTCCCGAATAGCATTAAAACTAACCATCGCAATAAATTTTAACGAAAGTTTTGATACTGACACGTTATTTGTATTTAAAAAAAAAATGGCGGGAAAATTACAATGAGGAGGGTAGACGTTTGAAAATATTCAAAAAAAATTTTTTTTTGAATTTAAAAGTTTTTTTTTTTGTATTCAAATTTTTTTTTTTTAGAAATTTCATATTTATAAGAAAAGATTGCGAGAGAAAGAAACAAAGAAAGAGAGAGAGAGAGAGAATAATTACTAAGAGAATTAAGCATAAATTAGAATAAAAACATAAATTTTAAAGACAATATATATATTTTTTTTATTATTATTATAAAACAATAAAAAAAAATATTAATAATGTAATTATATCGATTCGTTCGGTGCAGTGACGTACTAAGAATTTCCAATTTTTTTTTTTTAATTTTATAAATTTAAACGTGATTTTTTTTTATTTAAAAAAAAAACGGAAAAAACGAATTCAATTAGTTTAATTTCAACATAACGATATCGAAGCATTATTAAATTTATTTAAAAAAAAAAAAAAAAAAACGTGGACTGTTAAATTTATTAAAATATAAACAGGTGTATGATTGAACAAGAGAAGGAGAGAGAGAGAAAAGGAAGAGAGGGAGAGAAAATCAATAAATCGAACGAAACAATAAAATGAAAACAATAAAACGCGAGCGTTTATACGAACAAAATGATTTTATTTTAAACGCGTTTAACAACAATAATCAACTTCCTTATCCCTTATTCCTCACTCACTCTCTCTCTTTCCTACTTCCGTCAAACATTGTTATTATTATTATCATTTTTCTTTTTTACAAATAATTTATTATTACGTTAGAACCTGTCTTATTAGTAAGACATTTTGACCTTTTTTTATTTATTATAGTTTTTTTTAAAATCATAAATAAAAATCGATATTATTCAAGTTAACAAACAAACAAACAAAAATTTTTATACTTTGGGAAAAGAAAAAAAAATCTCAGTGGAATTAATTTTGTATATGCACAAAGGAAATAAAAATGAATAAGGAAAAATTAGGTTGGAAAAAAAAAATTACAATTGTTTATAAATTTTAGTTCGGATTTTTTCCACAGGTGAGCGTTAATGTCGAAAAGGGTATAAAATCATCATCATCATCATCGTCGTCATCATCATCATCGCCACCACCACCGCCACTACCGTCTTCATTATTATTACTATTATTATTAATACAATTTAAAAATTAATTTTGAGGCGGACGGGGGGGGGGTGGTGGTGGCACGATGGTAGTAGTGAAAATCGGTTGTGATTTTCTTTTTTTTTTGTGAAGTGCCTTAAATAAATAATTTTTATATTAAAATAAAAAAAAAATTTTTTGTGGTTACTATTTGTGTTAGTTGAGTGCGCGTCACGCCTTTTCGCTTTAGGCTTTAAAATTTTATTTATTTATTTTTGTTTAAAGTATTTAATAAGGCATCAAATTTTTATTTTTGCAAAGGAGATCGTGATTAATAGCCAAAAAGGAAAAAAAAAGACAAATGGTAGACCATATATAACAGCAAAGGATTAATCAAAAACAAGTAAAGTAATAAAATATTTATTTTTGACACGCGGTGATTAATTATTAACATTATTATTATTATTATTATTATTATTATTATTAACCATTATTATCATTATTAATATTATTTTAAAAAAAATGAATTTAAAATTATTTGATCTGGAGATAGGGTCGATGTGATCGCGACGCTATTTTGATTAAAAAAAAAAAAAAAAAAAGGTTTCGCTCTTCATTTTTTTTTTTTTTTTTTTGTTCAATGTCAGATTAAAATTTTCTTTGATGACGTATGGTAATGTTATCCCCTCACTTCATCAATTCTCACGTTTTCCATCCTTTAAAATTTTCCTTTGACTGTAAAATTTTTTTTTTTTTGTTTCATTTTTAAGGTACGTTAACGTTTCGTTTTTTTTTTTGTACAAGTCGTAATCGTTCTAGGCGTTAATAAAATGTGTTATAATAATAATCAACTTATTAATATTCATGTTATTATTATTATTATCATCATTATTATCATTAATAATTTTTAATGAAACGGTTTAATTTTGAAAAAAAAAGCAAGGTGCGGCGGACGACGGAGATTACGATTGTTTTCGTACCTGAAATTGAGTTTAATTACATCATCATCCCCGTTTAACCGGAGATTTTTTGAAATTTTTTTTTTTAAGTGTCATTGACCTTTTGATTAGTGAATTTGATTAAATTTCGTCTCGTTGCCAAATTCGAAATAGATTCGAATTTGCGTTGATAAAATTATTTATTAATTTTTTTTTTCTTGCAATGTAACGTGATTTTATCGCGACATTTGATGCCCGAATTCGGCATTTTCGCGACCGATACCAACCAATAATTACCGGCATTTCCCCCTCCCCTCTCCCTCTTCCTTCTCCTCCTTTTTTTTGATTGAACTTTAATAATAGCAAAATTTCCCCCTCACCTTTTTTGCCACCGCAAAAAAAAAAAAAAATTTAGATAATAATTCCAGATTAACGAATCGTAAAATCATTTAACAGTTAATTAAGACTGGAAAATTTTATACGTTTGTTCTATTGTTTGTTTGTTTGTTTGTTTGCTTGCTTGTTTGCTTCGGTTCAAGTTCAAGAGTTTTTATCGAAATGCGTTTTGATCGCTATAAAATTAATAAATATTATTATTATTATTAAATCCTCTTTTCCTGTTGATTCAAATTTCAGAAATAATACATTATAAAAGATTTCAATATATAACCGTCGGCATCCGTTTCCGGTAAATTATTTTCATTTTTATTAATTTAACAAATGAACGGAAAAAATTCAAAAAAAAAAAAAAAAATTTTTTTTCGAGTGGCCATTAAAATTATCACCTCGGGCATTTTGATTGCCACACCTTTGTTAAAATTTTACCTTTCAGGTTTACGCCGCGCGTTGTTGCGTTTTACATAAAAAAACGTTGTTTTATTTTGTTAAATTCATATATCATTCATCATTATTAACATTGTTTGATGTTCAACAACTAAATAAATGCAATAATAATAATAATAATAAAGCGATTTACGCCGCGTAAGAAGTACGATAGAAAACAAAAAATTTTGTTTACCTGTGTATTCGAATCCGGCGTTAAATTTTTCATATATGGGCCCGTGTAAAATACCAAAAGAAAGTTGAAAACCGTGATTGATGACGTGTACAAAAACGGAACAGATAACGATGACGTATCCCCAACCACCCTCTGGATAATAGTGACGCCACAACAATCTTCGTATGTGTGAAACCGGCGAAGAATATTCGTTTAATTTTTTCTTATCATTATCGTCGTTTTGCGGATGTAAAAGTAGCGGCCACGATCTCGCTCTTGATTTTAACGTGGTTCTAGAATCCAAATCGGATGCAATTGTGTCTTCTTTGACGAGTTGTCGAACTCTCTTACCGAAAACTTGTGGAAATTTCGAATGTTTTTGACATTTATCGCAATTACATCTGTCGCCATATTTATTCTTACGAGTTTCTTCTGGTAAAATAACATCGTCGTTTGTCACGTCCGTAGCAGACATTTTTTTTTTTTTTTGTAAAGTAAAAACTCTTATCTTAAAACTTATACGACAAACTTTGCGATAATAATAATAATAATAATAATTTATATATCGTAACGAACCTTTTCCGAAAAGTATAAAAATTATACGGTTGCGTGGGTCATGTTATACCGAACGCGTGAATGAAATTTTGAAATTTTTTTTTCGTTTTTATATTACTCGAAAACACGGACATTTTTTTCACTTTTTTTTTTTTTAATTTAAAAAATACCGTACGATAATATTAAAAAAAAAAAAGCGCGGAATTTAAAAAAAAAAAAAAAAGAAAGAATGATGGCGCGTAAAAAAAAAAAAAGAAAAAAAATTCAAATCGATTCTTTGGCGGGTTCGCAACGAAAAAGCCCGACAACTACTGACAAACTGATCCATTCACGGAATCATGCGTTAACTTACTTTACTGGACCTTCATCAACTCTTTTTTGTTGACCCATCTCAACATGTTATTATTATTATTATTTTACCATCCCGATTAATTTTCTTTTTTTTTGATTTCTTCTTTGTCTTCTGCTTCGGCGGAATTTCTAGTTTTTAATTAATTTATAAAAAAAAAAGAACACGATTCGGTACGATTAACGAAACACGTTTTTTTTTTTTTTTATCAAAAATGTTTAATTACCTGGAATTGTTTATTTTAATTCTGGAACATTTTTTTTTTTGTTCTAGAACTTTAAGGGAACAATCGGAAATCGGGTTTTTTTCTGTTTCGAAATGATTTTTTTTGCAGTAACAAAACGAAAAGCGAATTTTTTTGTTTTTTGTTTTCCAGTTTCTTAAAGTTAATTTTCCAAACTGGAGAATTCTGATTTTGACGTGAAAACAAAACCGAATTAATAATAATAATAAGTTTTTTATACGATTTTTAAAAGAAAATTTTGTCGTTGTTCGTGTATATGCGAATAAATCCGCCATTTTTTTTTTTAATTTTATCGATTTAAATTCGATCGATGATGAAATTATTTAAATGAGAAAAAGAGGCACGTTTTTTGTTTGTTTGTTGTCTGTTTGTTGTTTGTTTTTAATTGATTTTTTTTAAAAATCGATTGATTTTTTTTGTTAATTAATTTAATTCGCCAAGTTTATTTTTTCTATCATTCTGTCAAATTCAAAAATGTTTTCGAATGTTTTGTTTGTTTGTTTGTTTGTATGTTTTTGTGCAAACGATTGTTTTCATTTTTTTTTTTTTTTTAATGACAACATGATTGTTTTATATAATTTAAATTGTGACGTTTGTTTAGTAGCCAAAAAAAAAAAAAAATTTTACAGAAAATAAAAGGCGTCATTTAATTTTAACGACAGGGTTTTCACTTTACGTCAAACAAGAAAATTTTTTGTTTTGGTTTCCCTTCCGCGAAATTTTACATTTTTTTTTTTTTCAAATGTTTTCAACCGTGCACATGTTATGAGTGCATGTAAAAATAATATTAATAATAATATTAATAAAATTAATTATTTTTTATTATTATTTACTTTTAAGTACATATGTGAACTCGTGAAATTGTTCATTTTTGCGTTCTTTTTCCGTTAGAAAGTAATAATAATAATAATAAAACCATAATCTATATTAAATTTGTTATTATTTTTATTATTATTATTAAATAAAATAAAATAAAAAAGTTTTCGTACCTGTTAAATTTAAAATATAAACTTTGAAAATTAAATTTTCGCAATTCTATTTATGTATCACGCACAATTAAAACTTTACAAAATGAATTTTAATGCAATTTTTTCTTTCTCTCTCTCTCTCTCTCTTTTTCTCTCTTCCTCTTCCTCTTTCTCTTCTTCTTTTTCTTCTGCTTTATTTTTTTAATTTTTTTTTAAAAACAATTATTATTATAAATAAAAAGGAAATTATACACTCGCGACATTTTTTTTTTACACGTGTTTTGGAGGTGCGATTATTTATTATTAAAATAAAATATACATAAGTTAAATAAAAATTTATTTAACTTATGTATGGGATACGATAAATTTTAAATCGTCTAGAATGTTCCACAAATAAATAAATAAATGAATCGAATATTGATAAATGAAATACATAAATAATAAAGAGGGAAAAAAAATTTTTAGTTGTTAGTGATAAAATTGTGGTGGTTGCCATTTTTTTTTTTTTAATAATTAATGATAATGTCAAAGTTTGAAACAGGGCCGTAATCAATAATTTAAACAATTATTATTATTATTGTATTTTTTCTTTTGTTAATTTTTTCCCTATTAACGTCAAAAAAAAATTTCCGGTTTATGGAGAAAACGAAGGCAAAATCGTTTTTTTTTTCTTTTTCCCGTCGGTTGAGATTTTTCTTTCATGATTTTTTTTTTTAACCGCGAAATAATTACGAGAATTAATGATAATAATAATAATAATAATAATAATAATAATGATGATGATGATGATGAAATAAAAAATTTTTTAAATTTGAAAAGACGAAAGTTTAAATAAGAAAAATTCCAGTTTTTTAAACCTTCGCCAAACAAAGAAGCGAATTATTATTATTATCTTACAAAGCTGTGTTTTGTGGCACAAATTTTTTTTTTTTTTTGGAAAATTCCATAAATACCACACATTAGATAAAAACCTGGAAAGAATTATAAATAAATATTTTTTAAAACAAAAAAAAAAGCCGTTGAAAAAATTTATAATTTTTTATTATTAAGAAAAATTTAATTATTATTAATAAAAATTATTATTATTATTATTAAAAAAAATTGTCCAGTATTTCCAGTTGTCGTCCTCGTCGTCGTCTTTTTTCCAACTGATTAAAATTCTGTAGAATGGAAAGAAAAGTTAAAAAAGTGTAGCCAGATAAAAAAAAAAATTGTACAGTAGCGATTTAAGTGGAAATTTTATAAAACTTTTCTTTTCATTTATTTCCTTAAGATTCTGCTTGAGGTCACCTCGTATTAGAAAAAAGTTGCTCTCCCCAATTTTATTCCTTTTTTTTAAGCGGGGGAGGGGACGGGAGATGGTGGGAGGTAGGGTACTTAATAAAACTTAACCGATTAAAAAAAATTTTCAAAATGAATTTCGTTTGTGTTTTCGTAGAATAAAACGTCTTTCCCTTTTACCCCCCCCCCCCGCTTTCCCCCTCCTCTAACGGTTTTCAAAGTATTCTCAATTTCTTAAGCCCCCCCTTTTTCTCCTCTCCCTCCCTTTCCTCCTCTTCCCTCTTCTTTTCATATTTTTTTTTTCTGGAAAACTTTGTACAAAGCCGACCGATCATTTTCTTCGTAAGCTTTTTTTAACACCCAAAATTTTCTTCTTCTTTTTCTTCTTATTATTATTATTATAATTAGAAAACTTTAATAAATTAGTCGGTATAGTATTATTACTTGTTAACAAAATATTATTTTTCCCTTTTTTTAATAATAATAATAATAATAATAATAATAATAATAATAATAATAATAATTTACCAGGTAAATTAAAACAAAAAAAAAATTAAAAATTTCTTTAAAATAACTTAAACTTTTTTTTTTTTTTTTTTTCGAGGGGTTTCGAAAAGGTCAATATCAATTAATTATTATCTTTTATTATCAATTAATTTAATTAATTTTTATTGATTTCCTTTTTTTGATCATTAACAAAAAAACAACAACAAACAACAACAAAAAAGTTTTTAATTGTAACGAAATTCCGAATACGATACATTTTTTTTTAAATTTAATTATTATCATTATCATATTTTCTGGAAGACAAACAATCAAACAAACAAAAAAAAAAGGAATTTTTTTTTGTTTTAATTATCATCATTACGATTATCATTATCATCTACATCGTCGTTATTATCATCATTATCGTTCGTCATAAGGAAAAAGTGAAAATACGGGTAGGGGAGTATATAAGGATGAAAAACTTTTTTTAAGGTTATCGTGACGTCATCTTTTAACGTATTTATTTTAAATAAATTTAAACAGTGGAAAAGGGGGTAGGAGGGCGCGTGTTTTTTTTATACGAGTGCGTTGTATGCGTGTACGCGCGTTTTTTTTGTTTGAAAAGTATTCATTAATTAGTACTAGTACTTTTTTTTGCAAAAGTAAAACAAATAAAAAAAAAATTAAATTAAAGTACAAGTTAATAAAAAAAATTAATTTGAAAAAAGAGAGAGAGGGAGAGAGAGAATAAGGAAAAATAATGGAGAGAGAGAGAGAGGGGGGGGGGTTAAAAGATGTGGAAAACAATTTTTACACTTTTTTAAATTTTAATTATTATAACATGTCAGAAATTTTAATTTTTTTTTATTCTTCGATGCGAAAAATTTTCTAGGAAAATAAAAAAAAAAATATTTTTTTCATCATTATCATCATCATTATAATCGTCAGTATTATGTCTTAAAGTTAGAATAACAATAACTGAGAGAGAGAGAGAGAGAGAGAGGGGAATGGAAATTGTAAGTAAGAGAAAATTAAATTTCCTTTTTAAAATTTAATTTTTAATGTTAGTGTTTGAGTTTTAAATTTAAATTAAAAGATAAAAGAAAACCGCAGTACAATAATAATGAAAAATGTAAAAAAAACAAACAAACAAACAAACGTGAATTATTTTTGTTTGTTTTGGTAAAAACAATCGAAACAAATTCTAAAAAACAAAAAAAAATTTTTTTTTTTTCACGATGCTCCAAGTGTTATATGTAACTGAATATTTTTTAAAAAATCAAACCTGACCTTTAAAATAATAATAAAAAAATGAGGAAAATGAAGAGGGTTCCCTAGTAAATCCTTTTTTTTCCTGCTCATCACGTTCCCCTCCCCCGACTTTAATTTTTCATAATTAAATTCATTCATTCATTCTTATTTTATTCATTCATTTTATTTTTATTTATTAAAAAAAAAACAAAAAAAAATTACATTTTGATCTATACAGTTTTTTTTTATTATTAAAAACGCGAGCGTAAAACGACTGCGTATCGTTTAAAAAAAAAAAAAAATTGAAAAGTTTAAAAGTCGAAACGCCTACAATAATATGA